CAACATTTTAAAAAATAGTACAAAATTTTTCTGTTTAGATAAGTATTACTTAAGTTTCAGAATATACGGAAGGCAAACCAGTTAAAACAATTTTGCATTCAGTTTTACTTTAAATTTTTTATTCTATTTTATTAATGGACACATACGAATTGCATAACAATACATATTATTCTAACCAATATAAATCTTAAATTTTCAAACACCGGATGTACCTTTTCGAGATATCGATATCTGCTATTGCTCATCAATAAAAATCATATGATTATTGAGGGTGTAGCAAATTAAGAGTGGCGGATAGATTTCTTCTTAGATTACCTTATACAAAGGTAATAGAAAATAATTTCTGTAAAAAATGAAGATATGTGGACCTAAGTACGCCCTGTGCGGCTTGATATTGTCTGTTTGGGGTATATTTCAATTGGTAAGTTACTTTTTAATCTAACTTTACCATAATGTCAATGTATACGAAAAATATGATATAGTTTTCAAAAATAAATAGATGCATGTTCAATAGAAGAAAGTTTAAAAGATATTTTATATATTTAAATTTTACTTTCTTGTTAAATTAGTTGAATTTTATTTCTTGTAAAAACAAATAGGTTATCTTTCAATTAAATCATAATTTTGTGATTGCATCCCAAAACAAAACAGTCTCTAATTAATCTTTTAGTAGATGTAAAATTTATTAAATTAATATATGTTTATACCCTATACTGTGTACATAAAAACACGTTTTTATATTTTGTAAAAATTAAATATGGGAATATTATAATATATTTAATTTTCAGCTCCTGATGGGAATATTCTTCTATACCAAAAGTGTAGCTTTAGTTGAAGATCTTCCATTAGAAGGAATATTTAAGTCATCGACAGATTTTTATACTGCAGCAGATAGAGGATATAAGCAAAATGCATATAATTGTTGGATTGCAGCTTGTATTTATGTCCTTACATTCCTATTTTCTGGACATCAATTTTACATATTGGTACTTGTTTTATTGTATTTTAATGTTAGGAATTAGTTTTTGAAATTACACATGTTACATTAGAATACAATTTTAAGTTTAAATACCAACATACCAAGTTTAAATACCAAAATATATTATAAAATTACTGTTGAACTTACTGTTTTTTACTATGCTATAAGATATTTTCTTTCTTCCTCATATATCAGAAATATTACAAGCTTTAAATAGTGTTAAATCAATAAATGTAACTCAAACAGAAATTTTCAACTTTTATTGTAAAATTCCATACTTGTAGAAAGAATGTTTAAAATTTATTTCAATCTGATTATTTAAAAAAAATTATATGAAATTTATGTAAAGTAATACATTACTTATCAACAATAAGTAATTTCCAGTTATCTTTAGTTATTCGTTATTTTTAAAGTAATGTTTAACGTTATGCTCAAATTTAACGTATATATTTAAATGAAGGAAATTAAGAATTTCGTTACTTTTAAAGTAATGTTTAGCGTTATGCCCAAATTTAACGTATATATATAAATGAAGGAAATTACGAATTTCAAATTATCATAATACGAAACATTTCAAAAGTTATATTTAATAATGCTTAGAACATTGTTGTTCGAAAAAAATGTCAAAATCACATGACCTGTAGATGCGGAATTGTAGCAACATAAACGATAGTTGATAGGTTAGGTATGTACAAAAAAATTTTCTTTTGTTAGTGACAACTATGAAATTCGTATCTATTATGTAATTCAATTATTTAAATTGTTTTATGATCTACATTGCAGATAAAATATTATACAATTAATGAAGAAAAATTAAAATGCTTTCAAGTGTAAAAAATGAGCAGTATATTTAATTGTATACTAATATGTTTTAATAAATATTATGTGTCACATATATACATAATTTATAAGATTTAGCTGCACATATATTTGTATGTAATACTAATTGTTTTATACAACAAATGTTATATAAATGATTTATTTCAAATAAATAGTTTCTTGATAATATTACATCTAACTACATTTTTATAAAAAATATTGCAGAATATTATATTATATTATATTACAATGGAAAGTCAACAAAGAATTTTGACTGAAGACTATAGTGAAATAATACAGCGTCTTCCTATTTCTCTAAAACTGTCATATGGAATAGGACATGTTTTAAATGATATTTGTGCTTCTATGTGGTTCACATATTTATTAGTATTTTTTCATTTGGTATTGGGTTTTAATTCAATTATAGCAGGTGTAATTTTACTTGTTGGCCAAATAGCAGATGCTTTAGCTACTCCTTTCGTTGGTTTTTATTCTGATAAAACTGATGAAATCTGGTTATGTAAATATGGGAGGAGAAAGACATGGCATTTAATAGGTATACTTATTATGACTTATATTTAAACTTCTAACTTTTTAAAAATTGTATATTTTAGGTACCTTATGTGTATTATTTGCATTTCCTTTTATATTTTCACATTGTATTGGATGTGAAACTGCTCATGAATGGGCACAAGTAATTTATTACATAGGATTTGCTATAATCTTCCAGTTTGGTTGGGCTGCAGTGCAAATATCTCATTTATCATTAGTTCCAGAACTTACACCCACTGAATATGAAAGAACAGAATTGATAGCTATCAGGTATCTCTTTAACTACTAAAAAAAATATTTGAAATACTTTACACTGTAATTTTAAATACTTATTACAATTTTGTGCAGATATAGCTTTACTGTTCTCTCAAATATTTTTGTTTATTGCGTCACATGGGCAGTATTACATATAACAAATAATAAAGATTCTAGTTCTAAAATTGGTCCTGATGATGCAAAAAAATTTCAAGAAGTTGTGTTTATTGGAATTGGAACGGGAATTATAACATCTATTTTATTTCACATTTTTGTTAAAGAAAATCTTGTTAGTAATTCAAATGGTAAGAGTAATATTATATTTATTAGTTCATATTTAATTTATCTATCCAAATATATATTTTACTATATCTATTTTAGGTTCATTACGTAGAAATTCAAGAGGAATATTATTATTATTGAAAGATATTCGATTATATCAAGTAGCTTTTATATATATGCCTACACGCTTGTTTGTAAATTTATCACAAATTTATATTCCTTTATATTTACATGAATCATTGAATATGCCAGCTACATCTTTAGCTATAATTCCTTTGATAATGTTTTTAAGTAGTTTTGTTATGTCTTTAATTGTAGAACGTTTGAATACAAAACTGGGTAGAAAAATTTCATATTGTTTAGGTGTTATGCTGGGTTTGTTTACTTGTATTTGGATACAGTTTGGTAGTGGCTTAACATACACAAAATACCAAATCTATCCACTATTTGTAATATTGGGTAATATTATATAATTTTCTAAACTTTAACAAATTGCAGTGTAAATGGTATATTTAAAAATTAATTAATTTTATTACAGGGTCTGCTGGATCCATTATGGTAGTGACTAGTCTTGGTATTACTGCTGATTTCATAGGACAAAATATAGGTAGTAGTTCATTTGTGTACGGTATCATAAGTTTTACAGACAAACTGTGCAATGGACTAGCAGTTATGCTTATTCAATATTTGTAAGTATATAATAATTATTAGATGCTAATTATTTAACTGCTAATGCAAATTAAGCTGTTTCTTTAAAAGACAAATAAAAATAAGTAAATACTCTCTTTTCTTTTCTCAGAAGCTGTTGGACTAACTGTAAAAGTTACTACAGAGGTATCTTAGTTTATGTTTGTGGTGCTTCTATAGTATTTGGTGTTTTAATGATACTATGTATAAAACCATTTTATCAAAGTATGGGTACATACATAATACGTTATCTATAAAATTAATTGTAATAGCAGCATAATGTGAAAATGTTCTAAATTTTTTTAGCTTATAGTACATTACATTCTGAACAAACTACAGGACATGATACCACATCTGTTTCTACTATAGAAAATGAACCTGATAACTCATTGCAACAAGAAAATGTTACATAATGTAACAAAATAATTTAAATATAATGCCTATATTATATAACAATGAATACTTAAGATAGTATGCAACAAATTTTTCTTTATTCTTAGTACTTTTTAAATACTAATAATTAATAGTAGCTATAACAATAATAAATTACGAAGATAATGTAAACTCGGTATTGTAAATTATTATTTTTCAATGTGATTAATTTTTTATTGAAAAAAGAGACAATAAATTTAAAAAATAATAAAATTAGAACTTAATTTTTTATTTTGTAAAGAAAAATGGCAAACTCACTACACAGCATGAAATGTTTACTAAATAAAATAAACATAATTAACAATTAAAAAAGTAATATTTTCACATGTATATAACTTTTATTAAGTTGAATCATGCAACAAATTCATTTATTACGTGATTAAAATTGTTAAATCCGTTAAAAATTTATTACAAATGTCAATTAAACATAATAAGAATAACAAGGAAAACAATAATGCAGAGCGACAAGGAAACGTAAGTATATAGGTAGGCAAGGATAACATTAGGGAAATGAGTTAAACAAAGAAAGGAATACGGATAGACAAGGATAGCACTAGACTAATAAGTCAGACACGGAACGTTATAGGGGTAGACAAAGACACAAAATTTCAAAGGTGAAACTATCGCCATCTCGTGTTTGGTGATGCGAACTAGGACTTTATAATAGACAGTCCAGTACACCAAGATGTTGAATGGAGAATCACTTTTGTAAATGACCAAACGGGACGCGGTGTTTTTAACAGCGTTCATTAGTCTTTCAGATTAACAATTTTGTTATCAATAATCAGTTGTTTATTCATAAGATAAATACTCGTGTGTAGGATATGCTTTGAACAATTGACATTCAGTATTTAAAACTTTACAATTTATATCAATTTTTGTGCACTTTCCACCTTTTTCACTACCTCAAATGTATACTTCAGCTAAACGATTCAACGCTCAGCAAGAATATCACAGGAATAGCTGTTTATTCGTAATCGATGAAAACACTTCGATCAATGTTTAAATTATCACTTTTATTGTATCGTTGTTTTATTCTTTGGATTTAGATCAATCAGTATATACTATACTACTTTCAAATATATTTGTTAGTCGCGTATCGATATATTTCATACATCACACTCACACTTAAAACACATATAGTACATCTTGGATTAATTATGTTAACCTAAAGCCTAAGCTCATCGAATCGATTACCATGCAAATCATAGAAACGTTTCACACATTCTACTACGTTGCACATTTCTACGCAAGGGGATGGTACCAATTCATATAATACTTTGATCATTCTTAACAGATCTTGACCGATATATCTATCCAATATATTTCCCTCCGTAAGAATATTGAAATATTTTGTAAACTTCCTCAAAGCCTGATGAATTTTATGCCGGTGTTCCTCTTCTTTAACTATATCCTGTAAATCAGATAAATTGGGCAAGTAAATAATATGATAGTATGTGGGAATTTTTTACTTAATTCTTTAATTTTTTATTTTATTTAAGTATCAAATAACTCACTTTATAAGATTTCAGATTCAAATATACTGGCCAGTTCTCTTGGCACGCTATACAATTACATTCGAAATAATACTGTTTTAAAAGTTCTTTTTGTCTAGCAACTTTTGGTGTAAGTGCATAATGTGCACCATATTCGCTAAATATCTTTAAAGGAAGAGAAACTTTTTCAAATAATATTAAAGACTTTTTATAATAACATAAGGTACAATAATGTACCATTCATGAGCAATTCAAACATACCTGCTCACCTTCCTTAATAGGATACAGGGCATATATAATCATATGCCCAGAGCTAGAAACTCCTGTAGTATTTGCATTGCAACTATGATTCATCAAACTTGCAAATGGTAAGGCTACAGAACCATGTTCACGATATTCTAGTCCACACACTTCATTATCCTAGTACAGTTAATTAAAAATTTAGAAACAATTAAAACTATGTAAATGTGATCATTAGTATTTCTACATCTCTTACACTATGCATGTTTGAAGGAACCACTTGCTGATATCTTAATATAAGACCACCAACAAATGTGACATTTGAATATTTTATTAGCTCAGACAAATTCTTTTTTAATGGAGTTCCAAACATATTAGTACATGTTGCTAAATAATACAAAATAAAGCATGAATCTAGAGATCTTCTAAATAAATCTTGTACTGAACGTTTTTCAGTATTTGTTACTAGACCTAATACACTTCTGTATTTATCACTTGGGAAGGTTCCATTCTTAGAAAAACCTTTTGTACGAGGATCTAAACAAATAACAATTAACATTACTGCTAGCTTTCTCATGGAAATATATGTACATATGAATGTATATAGCTATTTACCATTACAACTATCAACTTCTTTTAACTCTTCCCTTAAGTCTGGTATACTTGTGGCTTCTTTGACATTTTGAATGGCAAGCCTTAAACTGAATACATCTAATTTATTAAACTTCATCTTCAACATATGTGGCACTATTGCACATTCCATATCATGATACTTTTCCCATTCTGAAGTCTTACATTCTTCTGAACAATACATAGCAAAAATACAATGGTCACAAGGTATAAGAGCCCAGCAAACCTTTAAACAATTTGAACAATGTGTATGCCTATTTCCAAAAGCTAACAATGATGAATATGGCTTTTCTATTACAAGTACTTCACCAGCATTTATGTTACAAGTGGCTACAACATGTCTACCATACTCTTCATTATAATTTACACCTACAGCATCAGATGCACAAGGAAATTCAACATTGTAAGTCTTTATTTTATGAAATGGTGATTGACATGACTTGGTGATTGACATTTTGCTTGCTTTATTAGGTATTTTCATTTTCTTTATAGAAATTAATTTTTCATTTAATTTTTCACGATAATTATCATCTAATGACATTTCTTTCAACAAACATTCTGTTTCCTTTATAGTATTATTTGTATCAGGATGCTTTAGTGCACATAAACATTCAACTTTTCTTACATAAAGCTTAGCACGTAAATTGTCTGAATTACTAATTGGCAATGACCTCTCTATATCTCGAATACATTCTTCATATTTACGAAATTTTAAGAACATAACAGATCTGTTGGCATAAGCTAAAGCAAGTTCTTTGGAAGGATTAGGGGCATAAGCTATGGATTGGGTATACAATTTCAATAAATCAACATATACAGAATTGTCTATTGTACTTTTAATATAGAGCTGATTAGCTAGTTCTCTTTTACTTTCAGACTCTTTTGCATCTTTCATTCCGCCCCATATCTCAGGAATTATATCATATTCTAACATACAATTAAGGGTAAATATTATACGTTCTTCATCTGTCTGTAAAGCTTTATATTTAGTAATTATATCTTCGAACTTGTTCGCAGCAATTATTTTTGCATTTAACGCATTTAATACTTTTTCCATTTTTTTTTATATTTCACGATATAATGCCGCGATAGTTTAAAATACTTACAATGGTGAATAACAAAGGGAATACACTAAACCTTATCAATATTTTCGAATTCGTAGCAGTGATCCGAAAATCGTGGGATGTACCATTTAGACAGCCGAATATGTACCTTATCTTTAGTAGTATAGAGGGCAGCAACTACGCTAAAAAGAGTATATGTAAATTATTATATTATAATTGTGTAAATAATATACTACTTAAAATAATTAATTGTGTACAACGATACTGAAAGATATATTAAGGAATTAATATATCGAACTAAAATTTAATCGTATTTGAAATGGCTTTGAGAGTAGGTAAGTTAACACGGGACTAAGATTATAACCTTTAAATATTTCACAGTACTCAAGTACGTACATATATATGTTCAACAGAATTATTAAAACGTTTAAATTCGGATGAAGAGCCTTTAACCAAACGTTTAAAATTGGCAGAAAATACTTTACATGCCACTGATATACCAATAGTACGTAAAGATGATTTCATTCTACAATGGCTTTGTAATACATATCCTATGGATCAAGAAGTTTGGGACACATTAAATAATTGTTTGAAGATTAAATATTTAGATATTAAAAATGCTGTAAAAAAAAAATTAATTGACACACTTATTGAAACATTTCAAAAAGATATAAAACATATACACAATGGTGTTTTTGAGTGCTGCAGCTTAATAGCTTCTAATAATGAAATTCAACAATATTTTATTAGTAAACCAGAAAATTTAGGACTTTTCACAAAGTCCTTATTAGAATGTGTATACAAAATTTTTAAACATGCCTTTAGTGTTGAAAAACAGCCAACAGAGGCAAGAAATATGTCATTAATCGACAAATGTGATAGATTAATGTTACAGGCATATAATACAACAATTAATGTTATGGAAAATATTGTACAAATTTTTAAATCTACTTCTACTACAAAAGACAATTTAAGTACCATATTTATACATAGCATTCTTTATCCTTTGTGTGCTATAATTGACCATAATTGTACTGATAGTACAAATAGACTGGGTATAATTTCACATATGTGCATTAAACAATTAATACTTGGAAGAAAGCATGTTCAAAATAGAGAATTTTTAAAAGATAAAGATATAATAAGATTGAAAAACTTATTATCTATTTTAACAGAAAATGCAAAGGCAAAAAATTTTCAAAGTAATTTGACTACTTTTACTTTTTTCTTTCGTGTTGCAATAAGTGCTTTTAAATCAAATACTGTTGTGTTGGATATAATATTAAGAGAATTAGTGGAATCTTCTGGAATATATAGAAAAGAAATTTTGAATTCTCTCTTAAAACATTTGAATGATTTAACATTTGATTTTGATAATAAAATACATGATGTCGCCCTGTTTGATTATTGTCAAAATATAGTGAATGATATTTTAATATGCAAAAGTATGAGCAATACCGATTATAACCTTTTGGTACAATTTTGTTATTTTAATCCTCTTATAATTGAGAAAAAAATTCAAGATATTCTGAAAAAAGCATTTATAGAAAAATCAACATTAGAATATAAAAATTTATTGATATCCATTTTGGATGCTTCTGTATATTTGCGACAAGAGGAGAAATTAATTTCCTCAATACTAATAGCTTTAAAAGGTAGTCTACACCAGATAAGAATTATAGAAGCTAACACTTTTTTCCCACATGAATTTAAAGAAAAATTAATGAATGTAGTAAGTAATGTTACAAATTCACAAAGCATAATTATGTTAAGAACATTGGTATATTACTTGAAGACTGATTGCTTGGAAATGCTGCACTCTAATGTCACATGTAACGCTAATAATTGTAAGTAATAAATAAATTAGTGTTATTTATTTTTTAATATTTTAATATTGTATTGTTGATTACAGATAAAAATATTTTAATATTCCAAGCAAGTGTGGAATTACTCACTACTCTTTTAGATGGTATATGCATTTTTGAATATAGTGGAGCATTTGTTTCCTATAAAAAATTTATGAATACATTTACTGATCTAAAAAATGTTCTATCACTTCTAATGGATAAAATATTGTTCTTAAACTATGATGAACAAATTTTTGTAATATTATTAACCGCAATATTTTCTTGGAATCAAGCACAAAGAGCATTGAAATATTATGTACCAAAATCTGTTTCTGAAGATTTGAAATTACTAATATCGGAAAATCAGTGGCAACAATTAATTAAAAAAGTTGCAGACTTTGGAAATGAGAATTGTAAAAATAGTATGGTATGATGAAATTTTAGTATTGTTTTTATTATGTCTTATCAAATTAACTTATGTTGAGAAAATAAATTTTTTATTACACTGTTTATAAAAGCATATATTGCTATTATCATATTTAGGTGTGTTAATATTATAATTTCAGAATAAACTTATTTTACAACAAACTACAATATTTCAAAATATATCAAGTGAATCTTCTATTATATTTAAGAATCTAATAGGTGGTTTAGAATATTGTTGGAGCAATATATTGAAATTTGATACAGGAGTAATATCAACTTTGAGCAATGAACAGGTATCAAATTTGACATATTTATTGTTAACAGATATGACATCTAATGTAAATAATTTCAATGAATGGGTGAAAGTTCTACATAAAGATAATTTACAAGAAAACAAAAGATTAATAGTATTCTTGTTAAGTCATATTTTTGCACAAATTGGACATTTAGCAACAGGTGTAACAAAATTGATTGCTAAACATTTTAATGCAGTAAGTATAAATATTTTCTTTTATGTATTTAAATACATTACATAAAATTATTTAAGCAATATTTATTTATTTATTTAGAAGTTTTTAGTTGAAACTGAAATTGTTGAAGATGAAAACATAAATAAGATATTAATATCTATAAAGGAAGAACTGTTAGTTAATAAATGGATACAAATACAGGACACATTTTTATGTAAAATTAAAGTGCATTTAGAAGTATTACTTCATTTACCACTGATGTTTCTGAGCACTAATTTAAGTTTAATAACATTTATGTTCATATTTGCTCTTCGAATGGAAACTGACCAAAATAATGAAATTGTCTTTTTATGCAACACAATATTTTTAGGTATTAGGTATTATGTTCATATAAATAAAACAATCAGATTTGTAACATACATAATTAACAACTCACAACAATATATATAATGATTATTTTATTTTCAGATCTTTTGGAAAGATCCAGTATTGATGTGTTTCAATACATAAATCCTTCTTTGTTATTACAGCAGTTACCACACAATAAAATTATTCAGAAAACACTTGAATTATTTCTTAGAAGTTGTTCTTATGCAGTTTTGAAAGAACTTATAAAATCTTCTGCTGATTCTAATAAAAACATGTTCTTTTTATTAACATCTATGCAATATGTTAAATCAAAGTTAAATGTTGATCAAAAGACAATGATTAAAAAGGCAGAAAAAAAGTTAATTAAAAGTATGGTAACAAATTTGCCCTCTAAGTTAACAAAGGCAGAAGATGTAAAAATATTAAATCTGGTACTAAGAATTAGTATTACAAATGAGAACATTAATGAAAAATTAAAAGATGTAGCAGAGTCAACGATTCTTAATATATTTGTGGTAAATATGATTAAGTTAAAAGATTATACTCTTTCAAATCACATGATATTAAAAGGTAGTTGCTTAACAGGATGATAGAAATGAGAACACTGCAAACGAGTTGTTGGAAGACAGTTTACAACTTGTAGTTGTTATTTTACATAATAAGAAAATATTTCAAATTACGAATCAAAGTATGAGAGGAATATGGTATACTTTATTCAAATATCCATGCATAGATGTACTTTTACCGTTATTAGGGTCAAGCGAACCAAAAGAATTATACGAATTTCTTGAACAATTACATAATCAATTGGTATGTTTGATAATTACTATATATTTATTAATAATACGGTCCTTTTATTGAAAACATCTACTATTTTATTTTGTTACAGATAAAAACTCTTTTGAAAGTGCAAGAAAATGATTTAGAAAATATTTGTATTATATGGAACACTATATTAAAAACAAACATGTCCAATGATCGCAATAAATTACGCTTGACAGCTATCAATAATTTAATTCAAATAATACAAACTGTAAAAGTACCAGAAAAATTTTGGCCAAATTTATTGAAATTAATTCAGAACATTCTTGTTACTAAACATTTATATCTTCCTGATTATATTATTGATATGAGTATATTCCTCTGTTTGAAATCCTTAGAAGGAAATATAATATTAACTTGTAATGATACATTAATATTATGCAATATACTGCTAAAAATGGAAACAAGTCTAATTACAGATAGGATACCTGCGTTATTAATATTGTACAGACGAATATTAAGTGTTGTTGTACATAAATCCAAAGATATTACTAATAAATCCGAAGAGCATACTATTAAATGTTTAATGTTAGACATTGAAAAGTAAGTAAAATATTTTCTATTTAATATAAAAGACATAAACATATTTTAAATTATTGTATTTTGTATCCAGGTTTACAAGTTCCTTAATAAAATTAAAAAAAGATATGATACGAATAAGTCCTTACCTGGTAGCAGATTTGTTGGAATTGTTTTCAGAAAATTTAATAACAAGTTTTGCTAAGGTAAACTTTCCTATAATATATTTCGTTTATTATTATAAAGTTCTATCTTCTTTTCTTTTTAAGGAAAGTATAGCTTAATTAATGAAATATAATTTAATTCGACTTTTTATTTCAGGCTTCTCTACAAAATTGTATAAATCAAATGATTAGTATATGTGATCAACATGGAATTGCTTTGTTATCTAGGACATTACCTGTTTCAATGCAAGAGATTTTCAAAACCCAATTAGATATATACAACAAATTTTATAAATTTTCTGGAAAGATTTAAATAATAATTATGTAATAATATAAACAAATTTATATTTTTGCATTGATGAAAAATGTGTTCTTATTGAAGTTATTTAAACATTCTTTTATTTCAAATAAAAATATATGTAATCATACATCTAAGATATCGACTGTTAAGATACAGTGTTTCCAGCAATTGTATCCCAGTTTGTACAGGTATTAAGACTTATGCATGTAATGATTTAGATTCATGATCTTAATACTAACATAATACTTAATACTACATGCTCTTAATACATTTTTAGTTATAAAAATAAAAACAAGAATTTTTTTTTAATGATTATGTACTGTTTGTATAAGTATTACAAATTCTTTCAGTAATACAAAAATGTAAAAGATTTTGAACCATATTACCAGGTATATAGATGATGAAAATTCACAAATTATTTCATTACATATTTCTTATAACATGTTACCACATAAATGTTACTATTCCAAAAAGAGGCATGAAGAAGTTTTGTCTGTAGTACTAAATAGAATACTGATTTGATCTTACAAGAAGAACGTATCCCGAATTTTTTAATAAAACTTTTTGAGGTGTAAAGAAAATCGCCTAATATAATATTAGAAAGTAGTAAAGGTAATCTCTCGCAATAAAGTAAATCTTGTCAGTAAAAACATCAAGCCGCGTAGCATATATGGTAGAATATCAATCTGCAAATAGTCTTTCGATTCCGCTTCTTTTTATTTTTGATTCACCTAACTTGGAGACCAGAAATTACTCGTAAATTAGTGAAATATTACAATTTACGCCTTTGCTCTTTTCTAGAAATTCATAAACATAGGTTATATACCGTTCTTACATTTTCACTGAACGTTTAATCTTAACGACAATTTGGAATTCACAGATAATATTAATATACTTGTCATAATTTCACATTAACAATGAGCTTCTTTCGTTTACCTAGACGTCAAGGTTTTATTATTATTGCATTAGGCTTTGCCAGTGGTTACTACATTTGGAACGAACCACTAAAGAAATACAATCAAGAGCATTTCGTTAATACAAACTTAAATAAAGTAAGTATTTTTTATCGTAAAAAAGATAATATAACATAGAAAATAAAACAAAGTGCTGCTTTTACCACTACATGATTGTGTGTTAATGATTGTAAACTTTTTTTTCATCTTAAAGGAAGTACCTCATGGCACGGAATAAACCATTCATAAAACCTGCAACACTAGTAATTTTAGCTGTACCTGCTATTTTAGGATGTATTTTGGGTTATAAGTAAATATAATTGTATCATTTGTATTCTTCAATAATGACAAAAAAAAACAGATAAATTATTAATATTTTATTTACAGGTTACTTATACACAGGTATATTGCACCATATAAAAGAAATACAGCTGAAAGTTATGCAAATATTTTATATGAAAAAGAAAAAGAAAAAAAATATACTTTCAGTAATGAAGTCTAAATGAAAAGTTTTATGTAGTTTCATTAAAATATAATGTATGCTACTAATAAATAAGATATTTATTAACTATATAACATTATGGTTTATTAATTAACATATGGTAAATACAGTATCTTGTAATCTAGTTATTGAATTTGCTTCCATAAAAGGGTATATATTTGACCACTATTTTCCAATCAGTGAAATAAACCAACGTCAAACTGGCTGCTGCTCCATAATACACTGCAGATGGAATCCTAGTTTACAAAAAATATATTAAATATATAATATTACGCATTAAAATATTTATTTAATGCACCTTAATAAAATATTTGTATATGCAATGATTGATAACTTGAAAAATGTGTTATGTAATTAATGTCACCAATAACTATTATTTTTGGTTACACACATTAAACATGTTATTATACATTTCAATAATGGATTTACTGACATATGATTTAGAAAAGGTACTTAATATTTACCATTTTGTAGCGACTTCCAAATGTTTCCTTCCTACTCGCATTCTGCGATAATTCTATAATAATTTATATATATTACATTTACAATTTCAAAATAATCTATAAATCCAACACTTAAAACATAATAAGCATTTATAGAAATTAAAAACTGATAAATAATTATATGTTAATTAAAGTGAAATTGTTAAGCAAATACCATAATTTATAATTACTTACATTTATTCGTTTTGAGTGTAGAATTCGATATTTAAACAATGGTGTAATAGTTATGAAAAGACTCGTTTCTCTATTGCCATCTATGATGGAACCTTTCAACTTACTGTCTTTAACATTGCAAATTCGCCCTAAGCTTATTTAATAGAAAAGAATACTCTTAATTATGCCAATATTATCCTTTACACTGTGTTTTTCATAAATTAAATATTACTTCCATTTTTCACATCAATATTATATTTTTAACTGTGAATTTATTCTCAAGATTTTTAATAAAATCAATATACTCAATAGCTATAACACAGTTTATACGTGTACAAAATGTTTTAAAGATTTTTATGAAACCAAACTTATTTAAATACAATTGTTATGTTTTTACTATTTTTGTTTCAGTTATCTTTATTGTTGTGCGGCACATGTGGCGCCCCGTAGTGTGAATGCTGAATCACGCCGAATACAAATTGTGTAGCGGTGTAGCAGAAGCAATGAACAAAGAAGTTCGATAATATATGTATATGTCGTAAAATGTCATTGACTACTATTTGCAATTTCTCGTTTAACTAAATGTTTATCCTCGTTGCTACACACAGAAACATTGCTGAGGTGTGAATTACTCACTTTAAAGGAAATATGTATTAATAAATAAATGAGGGGTACCAATCAAATTTATCTTTGAATAATTTTATATAGAATCTTTAATCTAATTGCAGATTATTATTAAATAAAAACATGTTAACATTGAATAATGAATATCGACGATGTTTGAACATTCATTCGCTTTTTCTCGCTCAAAGAGTCTAGACGTACTATTTTATAATAAAAGAAAATAGTTAAAATATTTCGTTATTGAGTTACTATTATTATTGTTCCATTCTTATTCTTTTCAAGTTATTTATTGTTCTATAAAAGGTTCAGCGTTAAATTTTCTTATTTATTAAATTCACTAAACAATCACGAACAGAATCTTTAGCGCTCCACGGGTGATAATTCCCTCAAATTCCCCAAGAATCCACGCAATATGATTAAGAATAAAGAGTTTACACCCTTTGAATGCTATGGATGCATATACTTCCGACAAACCTAAAGTGAAGTCTCTGACGTTACTCAGGGCCTAAAAGTATGAGTTTGATAAAAGTTACCAGTGGTTACCAGCATGGACTAAGGGCGCATATATGCGCTTATCAATTTTTTCAATCTCCCGCGTAGTGTAGTTACAATATCTTTATATGAGATGAATACATGTGTGTTCCTTAGCGTACATGAGTGTTACTTAATTTGGTGTAAAAGAATTACAATAATAACTTATTGTTAATTGCGCCTTGTATACTCAATCAACAGAGTTCACACTAACAAAAGTCCATACGGAGAGCTTCGGCAGGGAGTATTCAGCACTCAAAGAGTTAACTAACTAAAAATATTACTGTAAAGAATAAAACAAGTCTATTCTAGGAATATTTAGTTTGATAAATGTAAATAACTTTTGACTACTGAACAAATCTGTCGGGAAATCCTGCATTTAAGTGTAAAGTTTTTGAAGTGCAAATATTACGACGTATGTACATTTTATAATATTGAGATTATATATCATATTTTTAGTGATATTAATTAGTTTTGAATCGTTATTGCTTGCTGTAAGTTATATTTACATTAAGAATGCAATTATTGTTTTTAAATGAAATTACTTTTATGTATGTTACTTTCTTAGATACATAAACACATCTAAATACTACTTTTTATTTTTTTAAGGCTATGGAGAATAGTGCAAATGATTTTATACCAAGAGCTTATCAAATTGATTTATTTGAAATAGCGCTTAGAGAAAATACGATTGTTTACTTACCAACAGGCACTGGAAAAACATTTATTGCTACTATGCTTATAAAAGCATTAAGTGCAGATATACGAAAGTATGGAATATAATAATTACACATTTTTTTAGTAATCATGTAAATTAAATGATTATATATCACAATTATCAAAATTAATTAATATTAGTGAGCATTTTATGCATTAAAGCAGTTTACTACATTTTAAGTATATTATATGATAATGAAATTTTATTATTATTTGAAAATACCAACAGTTTTACTAAAATTTTTACAATATAAATCTTTCATTTAGACCTTATAATGAAGGTGGCAAACATACTATATTCATAGTTAATACAGTAGCTTTAGTTGACCAACAAAGTAAATATATTGCAAGAATGATTGGTTTGTCCTGTGGTGCATTGAATGGTACATTAAAATGTGACTTCTGGAAAGAGACAGAATGGAATATGCAATTACAAAAACATCGGGTAATAAAAATTCTTTGTAGTTTAAATTGTTGTTGAAAATATTATTAACTGTTGTTAAAAATATTATTAAGTAGCGATGCAATTTATGAAATGATATAAATTATTGTACAAATTGTATATTGAATAACATTATTTTAGGAATATATTGTTACAGATTTTTGTAATGACAGCAGACATTTTACTGAATGCACTTACTCAGGGTTATATATTTTTAAATAGAATAAATTTATTAATTTTTGATGAATGTCATGCAGCAGTAAATGATCATCCTATGAGACAAATTATGAAATGTTTTACACATTATTCTAAGGAGGAGCACCCAAGAATTTTGGGATTAACAGCAGTACTAATAAATTGTAATGTATCTTTGACACAAATAGAGTCACATATCCAGGTACATTTTATTGATATAATCACATTATTTTTAACTATGTAAGATACTAAAATAGGGATGATAAATTATTTTATTTTAATTGGTGTAAAATAATATTTAAATTTTACAGTGTTTGGAAACCACATTTCATGCAAGAATAGCTACAGTAGATACACCATTGAACAAATATGCAACACCGAAAGAAATAATAGTTGAATTTGATAACTATATTATACCAGATGTGGGAATACGTATAAATAATATATTAAACGAAATCAGTCACGTTTTAAAGCATATAGTTTTAAAAGATACCTTGAACAATCTAGAAACAAGTACAATATTTAGACCAAAACCTATGAAAAAAAAATTGAGTATCATTGTAAAAAATATGCAGGAACAGCTTTCAAGTTTAGGTACATTTGTAAGGCTAGTTAAAACATAATATGTGTGAATAATTACATGTATTTTTTTTTGTCTGATTTAGTAAATCTCATTTTTAATTTAGGAATTTATGGTGCAAGTAAATGTGCTTTGATTCATTTAATTCAATTAGAACATATAAAAAAAGGTATAATACATGAGGTATGTAAAGATTGAGCATACTAGTTTTTTAATTTTTTCATAATTTTCTGTCATATATATATGGTATGTTATATTTAGAGCACTATATGTACTTTGGAATATCTGGTAGCGCAAATAACAAAATGTAGGAAATTACTAGAGGATGAAATGAAAGATCATACAGAAATAGAAAAAATTTACAAGTGAGTTAAGCTGATTTATATTTTTGGAAAATCCTGAATACCTATGAATAATTCATTGATAACTTAAATATAATATTTACATTTTTGTATCAAGTAATGTTTTAGTATTTAACAGTAATATTATATGGCTTAAACAAAAATATAAAATTACAGTTATTCTTCTGATTCTGTTCGAAAATTGTTTACAATATTGAAAGATTATCATAATAACAACATTAGTAAGTTGAAATTTTGCTGTATTATTTTTGTACAACGACGATTTACTGCTAACTTGTTATATCAGATATTGAAGGTAATAAGTGAGTTTTATATTTATAATTTGCACTATCTTTGAAGCCTAGCATTATTTTATGATTAGTACTATTTTAGAATTTATGTGAATGTGATGAAGAATATAAATTTTTGCAACCTGACTATGTGACAGGTTACAATAGAAACCCTTATAGTACTTCTAGAGAATTATTATGTCTATCAAAATGGAATAATGAAGCTTTACACAGGTATAATGTTTTATATATTTAGGATTACAGAATATATTATATGTTGGCCTATTTACACAATAAGATTCATGTTCAACTTCATGGAAATCTATTTAGGTTTAAAAATGGTTCCACAAATTGTCTTGTTGCAACAGATGTTGTAGATGAAGGTGTAGATATAACTTTATGTTCATTAATTGTAAGATATAATATGCCCCTCACTATGAGGGCATATGTTCAAAGTAAGGGAAGAGCAAGGCATAGCATTAGTCAATATACATTATTGTTACCAAAAGATGATCTTTCTAATTTAAAACGATATCAATCTTTTAAAGCAATGGAACAATACTTGCAACAGGTACTATTTTTCATATGTACTTGTTTATTCTTTATCACTATTTTTATTTGTAGTTAAAAATTTTTAAGTTTTATTTCATATTATACATAATGGTTACATATCTAAAATATATTTATTAATATTA